GCTTGACTAGAAAGAAAAAGAAGTAAAGTACCTCTCCATAGCTTTTGGATTCCAATTGTAGCTTTCCTTAGGACAGTAAACTCTTTTCTTGTAATATATGTCCTTATCTGCCTCTGGATAAGTCTTGCAGCATTCGCTAAGACTTCTATTCTTCGAGCATCAAGTTCAGCCATTTGGCCAGCCCTGAGGAAAATCTTTGTTTTCCCTATCTGATAGAAAGAATTGCAGCAAGAGTGTTTTGTTAATAGGCAGAAATTTATTTGATTTTCTTTAGCGTTCGAAATGTTTATTCTAGTTTGATTACTTTGTGCATGTTTTGTGGATTTTGCTTTATATATGATGCATCTTTTTGTCTCTGTTTAAGTATGGTATGTTGAGATATCTGTTCATAAGTTGTATTGTTTTGGTTTGGATACTTGGTGGTATAAATTTGGTATCGAGGACTAGCTAATACATCAGATTTTTTTTCTATTAGGATTATAAAAAAATAACTTAAAAAGAAGTATAAGAAGAACAGAAAGAAGAATCCAAAAAACAAATAAACGGTAAAGGTACAGAGAAAAAGAACAAGACTTCATAATATGCAAAATATCTTGAGCAACTCCATGTTACTTATCAGAATAGCATGTCTTCCAATAGCACACATATAGTAGCTATTTCGTTAAGAATTTAGACAGAATATTTTTCATCAACTTAAAAATGTTGTTTCTTAATTTGTACCTGATATCCCTTCAATCCCATCCTACTGCAAATTGCTTCACATGCCAATTTCTCATCAGAGCTGCAAACCAAGTGCACATATTAAATGTCTAAATCAAACTAGTGAATAAGGGGGAAAATGTTATAAATGTAATATATATGATTTCCAATTAGATATTTTACCTATCTATAAGATCAGGTGTCAGCATTCCAAACCGATCAATGAATTCATCGAATGTCCGTTTAGTAGGGTATCCAGCACAACTAATTCTGATTGCCTCTAGCACACCCTACAACATCGATCAAATACAAATAGAGAATAAAAAATATACTTAATATGATCATTTTTCCATATTCGATACTAAAATTTAGTTCTTGACTTCATGTCTTACTTACCCCACATCTCAACTGATTCAAGACATTGAAGTTCTCAAAGATTGCTGGCTTCAGAACGGCATTAGGCTTCACACATCTGATGTAATGTGGCTCAGTTGTGTTCAGGGTTTCCATAAGTGCTTGAAGTTGTTGCTGTAATTAAGATCATAGTAAATTTTAGTAAATACCATCTTGAAAGAATACTTAAGAAGTGTCTAAATAAGAGTTTGGCTAGTCAATATTGCAAAAGTTTGGATTTTAAAACTACAAAACTTTATATCTCTAGATGTTGATCTACTACACACATAAACTAGTTAGAAACAAAAATGTCGAATTATTTCAACGTGTTTTAACCATGTGACATATGTTGTCAAAATCAACATTCCAGAATTTTTATAGGGCTAATTGCGGATAGACCACCTTTACTATAGCCCAATTGTAAATAGACCCCAAATAGTCCAATTGTTGCAGATAGACCCCCAAAGTGAAATGTTTTGAGTCTTTTACCCCAGAGATAAAGAGAAATTTCTGTTTTGACAACTAGACCTCTTGGGGGGTAAAGGAATCAAAGAAAGTTCTCTCGAGGGATCTATCCACAATTGTACAATTATACATGGGGTCTATCTGCAATTAACACATTCTATAAAATTGATTAATTTAGGTAGCATTGACAGGTGATTAAACACAAGTCAAACTCCATGTGAATTTCATTTTTCGGTAGTCGATGTGCAGTTTATAAATCTAAGCTTTAAATTGAATTGATAGTATTTGCATCTTGGACACAACTGTTACTAGCCTATCTCACTCTTAGGATAATAGTCTTAGGCTTAGAGCTGAGATGTACCTTAAAGCGTGTACCGATAGAGGAGAATTTTGATTGTTTAGATGATTCTTCAGGCAAAGGAGGAAATAGATTGGCAACAAAAGGGCACTTTGAAGCATCCAACAAAGCTTGATGCTCTGCCACAACATAATCTTTGTTCTTATCAAGAAATTGGTCTGCTTGATATGTAACCTGTTGAATTATAGAAGTTTTAGGATCTTGATATTTTGAAAAAACTTTAAGGACCATTAATTTAGTGCTTGCTTACATCCCCGGCATAATGGTTTATGGTGAAAGCAGTTCGAGCAAGTTTAGGCTTACTGAAACGCTTGTGTGCTTTGTATGTTTGGTACATCTTCTGTGCAAATGTTTCATGAGTGGACTTTGGAAACATACTGCAGAATATTAGTTAAGTGTCAGTATATGTTAATACCAAGTTTCAGAGAAATTAAACTGAGGAATAGAAAACTTGAGATTTTTTTACCTTATAGCCAACTTGTAAGGGATTTAGTTTTATATGGTTATTCATGAAAAAGTAGCTGAAAATAGGTAAATTTCAGAAAACCCCTTAAATATTTGTAGGATCAACAGCAAATCTCCCTATTGTTTTAAAAGTAATACTTTGGCCCCCCCCCCCCCCCCCCCACCCAAACCACCACACAAAAAAATTCGTTTTAAATTTTCTAGTCAAATAACCATTAACATTTTTAATGTAATCATCAATTATCAATATAATAATCGTATATATGTTTACATGAGAGTCCATATAGTTGTCATATCCTATAATGTTAGTTTTTTTTATCCAAGTTAAATTTGTAGAATTTAAAGACAGGGAGCTATATTGTCACTTTCAAAGCCTTACAGAATTTCTATCAATTATGCATAACTTAGAAGGCTTTTGCAAATTTACCCAATAGTAATAAAGGAATTCAAGAACCTTCATTCATGCATTAGATTTTAAATTTTCTATTGTGTCTTACAGGTATTTGATACATTTGAAAACAATATCTAGTGTGTATCGATTGAATATTGGAAAAACCAAATATCAGATACATACCAATTATTGACATAGCAATTTCAAGGAACTGCCAAAAAAAATAATCAAACTTACATAGTTTTGCATATGCACATGTAAGAAGGGACAAGAGAGTAGTCATTGGAAGAGGTTCAGGAAACATACCATGCTTCATCAAGCAATGCAATTATTCCTCCAGGTTTCTGTGTTTTGAATACAAAGCATTAATGTCATGATATATTGTTTTTAATCATGTAATCATACTTAAAAGATATTTTTTATTTACTGCATAATTTATGTACCTTTTCTATTAAATCAAGCACATCTTGGTTGTCTACAAATTCGACATAGCTCCAATCAATTTCTTCTCTAGTGTACTCTTCTTGCTCCATCTTAAATACATGCTGCAAACAAAAATGCTTTTTCGTCTTAACATATGCTCTATTTTTTTCATGATATATACAAACTGAAGAAGAAAACATATACATACTTGATTGAAGTGTTGCTGCAATTTCTCATTTGTTAGGTTAATGCATAGTTGCTCGAAACTGCCAAGAAACTCAGTAAATCAATTATGATGGTCGTATTGGTGGTATAACTCTGTATCTTCAAAGTTTACCTGTTTATCTTGAAACTCTCAAAGCCATAGATATCAAGGACTCCAATTATACTTTTTGCAGTAGGATCCTGACCAATTGAACTGTTGATCTTGTCTACTATCCTGCCACAATTGATAAATTTAGAAAACAAACATAAGAAAGGAAATTCTAACATACATATACCATTAATAAATGTTTTGTATGTGCTCTATGAGAAAAGTGAATACTTTATAGATATTATATACTTTTCATTTTTTTTTCCTCGTGTGTTGTCTACTTACCAGTCAAATAACCTTGAGTAAACTGTTTTTGCTAGAGCATCACGGTTAGATGTAGCTGAATCTGGATCAAGAGGCTTTGTGATATTACCATCAGGAGTAACAATCACACGCTTACAAAGTGAATCCTCAAGTGCCTTCTCATCACACCTAAGATAAAAATTAAGACCTTGATCGTTGAATATGAGAATACCAACAAAATCGTAGAGAAAAAAATAATCAGGCTTAAAGTATAAATTCACACATTAGAAGCTCTGCAGCAGTTTTAAGGTGGAATAAAGCCTTGTCATCCTTCAATTTCGATGAATCAATTTCCTTCCCTTTTGCAAAATTGATGTTCCCAAGGTGAAGGATCGCTGCCACAACACGAAATATAGCGTCCTGCATAAATCAAACCAAACTTCTTGAATCAACAATACCCATTTACCATTATTTATCAAAAATTTGAGTCATTTTTTCATAAGGATCACCTGCTCTTCTTGGTTTATACCGACAACATCCATGGCATTTCTAGTTTCCAGGTATTCCCTAGCATCATCGACATTTGCAACTTGATAACAATTTGTTTGGTTCAGATAATGGAATGTTTTTGGATCCCCCACTTTGAATCTTTTGACATCCTAACAAAAGATCAGGATTATATCTTAAAGTTAAATATTCCTGTTATCTATATGAAAATTTGAAGAAATAAATTAATTGCTTACCTCTGGTGGTGCAGCACAAAGCATGTAGAAGCAATGGTAGTTTCTCTCAGGATCGTTCACCTGACATACTCTGGAACGTTCTAGTAGGTATGTTCGAACCGCCGCTCCTGAGATCTTTCCATATTTGTCAAATTGTATCTCGACAAACTTACCAAATCGACTGTTTCAATAATAACCTTCTCATGTAAGTATCACTATGCATTAATCACTTTGTTACATTTGAATGTTTCATGTTTGTGAAACTCATGGTAAATTGCAGATAACCCCTCCTCATATATACTTCCGTAGCACTTATCACCTCTCACGTAAGTTATTAAGCACTATCACCTATCAATTCTTAAGGAAGTGTGAGGTTATCTGTAATTTATTCTTCACAGAATGTGAATTCAGGATGAAAGTCCTACTAAAGTAGTTGAGGGATGACAAGTACTACTGGAAGAAATTATTTACAATTTACCCTTTTAATCGTATACATTATCTTTATACATGTTCAATGAAAATCATAGTGAACTATACTGATAGTCATTGTATTTACCTAGAATTGTTGTTCTTCACTGTTTTTGCATTGCCAAATGCTTCCAGTACTGGATTAGACTGCACCAAACAATATCAAACTCATCAAGTGTTGACTCTATGATATGTGTAAAGATTATTATAATTTTGAATCACATATTCAGAAAATATATGCATTTTGTATTTCACCTCCAAGACTTGTTGCTCTACTGTTCTTCCCTCTGTCCCTGATCTCCCACCCATATAAGCAAGATATCTCATGAGCATCTTCGTTGTCTCGGTCTTCCCTGCTCCACTCTCTCCACTAACAAGTATCGATTGGCTTCCATTTTCATGTATCATAGCCCTGATCATATAGCTTGGATATCAGTTCGTCATCAATAATAACATCGATAATGAAAATAAAAATTGCGTAAATTTTACGAGCCCCACAATAAGTTTGGGCGTTTTTCACTTGGTTCCCAATAAGTTCTGTTAGAAAACATCCAAATTAACACCTTTAGCTCTGACGTGGCACTGGCAAATCATGTGCAGTCAAACAACCAAGATAACCTTAATAAGTTCATGTTTTGTCACTTAACCCCCAAATTAGAAAATCTTTTCTTTTTTTGCAAATAAACCCCCAAATCATCCCTATTGAAGATTTAGCACTCACTAATCTACCCTCAATTTTACTATATTAATATAATATTGATAAGGAAAATAAAAATATTTGGTCGTATATACCTGTAACAAGCGTCAGCTACTGCAAAAAGATGAGGGCTGAGCTCTCCAAAGGTAGCACCTTTGTACTGTTCCATCATGTGCACGTCGTAGAGATGTGGGAGTCTTTGAAAAGGGTTAACTGCAATAAGTATGTTACCGGTGTAGGTCTGTGGAGTTCGTGGTTAGTAGAATCATAGCACACAATTCTCCGTAATTTTTTTGAATTTGAAGATGGACAACTTACATATATTTCATTGAGAGAGAACCGAGAAGCGAGATTCTGAAGAACTCCAGGTTCATGGAGGTAAGCTAATTTCGTCATGTCATCAACTCCGGCAGGAGGAGCTTCAGTGTCTTTTGGATATATGCTAGAAATACTAGCCACAACCTACACAATTGAGAGAAAGACATAGATGTAGTGTGAAACCTGTAGAACGGATTTTGCACATTAGCAGGCAAAGATGATATATATGGTTCCCATGGAGACAGATCCCAACAAGTCTATAGACATAAGAAGTATACTCCATATAATAGAAACAACGCCTGTTTCTCAAATTCAACGGTAAGAAGAAGGGGGGAAAGGGCCTAGCGTATGAGCAATAGACATTAATACGTTGCTGCTAAGATTTATGGTAGAAGAGAATTGTTACCTATTAAGAGATATGCATAATTTGGGAAAATTACAACTAATAGCCTTGACTAATAATTTGTTCCCGTGCAAAGATTAATTCAGTAGAGAGGAAACTAAGAAATGTGTACTGGGGAGCATCCTGATCATCAGACTAGCATGATGTAGTCTTTAAGCAAAGCGACCAGCATATATTTTTGATCTTGATCTCTAAAAGGTTACTTTTCTTAGATATAATATGATACCAAAAACTGTAGCACTTATATCGATATCTTCTAACAGTTTATCTATAGAAACGATAATCCTGCAAGCTTGCACCAAAAAAAAACCTATGATCCAGTAATCAGTTCAAATAACACGGCTGCATGAAATCAGAACACAGCTGTTCCCAAACTTACAAGCACCAAGAGCAGGGTGTGAAGATCCTGAAAGCTTGTAAAGGTTCCCAATCTAAATTCGACTGTTTTATTGCAAAAATTCTCAAACTATAATCGTGCATCCCATCATTTAACCAACCAAACTATTGTTTTGCTCGATTACTTGAAAATTGGATAATTAAGAGATTAAAAAAAAGTAATTAAGCAGGGTGTGGAGATCCTGAAACTTTTATATTTTCTAAATCCAAAACCAACCGTTTTATTGCTAATCTCCTCAAACCTCAATTCTATGTAAACCATCTTAAAAAAACCGATATCACATTATAACTTGAGAATTTGATCATCCGTAGCAATAAAATCTTGATGAAATATGATCATACTGTTTTTCCATTTCTCAATCAAAAAAAAAAGCAACTGCTTCATCGCAAATTTCTCAAACCTCAACTCTCCACCAACCATCTTTTAACAAATACCCATATCACATAAGAAATTGTATTAAAATCTCGGTGAAAATATGATCATACTGTTTTCCCGTTGGCGGTGATGACTGTGGCATTGCCTCCTTTGATCTGTGTGACTTCCCCATCAATCCAAGCATCCTCAGGATCTTCGACCCAGACGTGGGACCCGACGATGATGTTCACCGGAGTTCCCTAATTGAATTCAGGGACAGAGTTAGAGTAGTTTGTTTGATGGAGGAGGAGTTCACCAAGTGATTAGAAAGCTCACCATGGATTGGAATATTGCGTTCTTGCTTTGATCATGCAGAGAGAGGAGAGAGAAGAGAATTCTGAAGAGAGAGAGTGTATGTGAGATAGAGAGAGAGAGAGAGAGAGAGAGAGAGAGAGAGACTTTATGAGGGGAAAGCAGAGGATGTGGAAGGAAATGAAGAAGGCGATGGTTAGCGGGGTGGTAAAACTCAAAAAGAGAAAATTAAAAAATAAAGAAGAAAAAAAGTAGGGAGAGAGTGGGACCTGGGGGGTCCCACAACAGCCTGGGAGCTGGAAAACAAATTCTATACAGAGGCACCCATATAGAAAAGCTATGTAGGGATATAATTTTCTTTTTAGGGGAATATATAGGGATATAATTAGGATTAAAATGTTTTTTAATCATGAATCTTGATGTAAATGCCAGCATCAGCCATTTGTGATGCTAGACTCATTATCATAGTGCAGTTGTTGTTAGCATGGTTTATACCAATGGGCAATTTGACTGCAATCATAGGTTGTATGTCTGCTTAGTTTTGTGGAGGAGATGGACATTCCTTATTTTTCACGTTTTGATTAACGAATATCATGAGTGTGGTAGCACTCTTAAAAGTTAATGTGGCTGACCATCACTCTATTTTGAATTTATTTTATTTGAAAGTATTGTGTTGACAAATTCGAGTTGAATATAACATATTCCGGTTATCAGGGCTGGCTGAAGGTATAGGCCACTAACGCATATGCCTAGGCCCCCCATTGTATTAGGGCCCCTAACACTGGAGTGAATCCAGATTCACTGGAGTGAATCCAGATTCACTGGAGTGAATCCAGATTCACTGGAGTGAATCCAGATTCACTGGAGTGAATCCAGATTCACTGGAGTGAATCCAGATTCACTGGAGTGAATCCAGATTCACTGGAGTGAATCCAGATTCACTGGAGTGAATCCAGATTCACTGGAGTGAATCCAGATTCACTGGAGTGAATCCAGATTCACTGGAGTGAATCCAGATTCACTGGAGTGAATCCAGATTCACTGGAGTGAATCCAGATTCACTGGAGTGAATCCAGATTCACTGGAGTGAATCCAGATTCACTGGAGTGAATCCAGATTCACTGGAGTGAATCCAGATTCACTGGAGTGAATCCAGATTCACTGGAGTGAATCCAGATTCACTGGAGTGAATCCAGATTCACTGGAGTGAATCCAGATTCACTGGAGTGAATCCAGATTCACTGGAGTGAATCCAGATTCACTGGAGTGAATCCAGATTCACTGGAGTGAATCCAGATTCACTGGAGTGAATCCAGATTCACTGGAGTGAATCCAGATTCACTGGAGTGAATCCAGATTCACTGGAGTGAATCCAGATTCACTGGAGTGAATCCAGATTCACTGGAGTGAATCCAGATTCACTGGAGTGAATCCAGATTCACTGGAGTGAATCCAGATTCACTGGAGTGAATCCAGATTCACTGGAGTGAATCCAGATTCACTGGAGTGAATCCAGATTCACTGGAGTGAATCCAGATTCACTGGAGTGAATCCAGATTCACTGGAGTGAATCCAGATTCACTGGAGTGAATCCAGATTCACTCCAGCGAAAGCTTGGATGGTTAGGATGGTTTTTAATGAATTGTTGAAGAAATAAATGCATGTGCTGTAATTTCGAAGAAATAAACGCATGAGTGAATCTAGATTCATTGCAGTGAATCTAGATTCAGTTATGTGAGGTGTTTGTTTTTTACCATAAAAATCATAACTTTTTGCTATAAAATGTGAAATTATATCATGGTTTAAAATTTTATAGCTTGTTTTTTAGCATAAGTTTCTTATTCTTTTTGTTTTTTATTTTTGCAGATTTGCTATTGTTTGATAACGAGTTTCAGTCCACTGAATTTGGATTCAATTCAGTGAATCTGGATTCACTCCAATGAATCGAGCTTCAATATAATCCAGATTCAATGGAGTGAATCCAGATTCACTCCAGCGAAAGCTTGGATGGTTAGGATGATTTTTAATGAATTGTTGTTGTGTTCTTCATGCGAAGATGGAAGATCAAAGCTTGATAGAAGATGGAAGTGAGTTACAGAGAGCAGGAAGTGAGTTAGAGAGAGAAATGGGGAAATGGAGAACTCAATAGAGAAGCATTAATGTTGCCAGCCACCATTAATATAGTGAATTATTCCACGTGTTGTATTTTTGGTTTCCAATATTGCCAGCCATCATTAATGTAGTGAATTGTTCCAATTTTACCCTTTTAACATTAATGATGTGTATTAAATTTGTCTATATTTATAATTCTATCATCGAAATATAGGCCATTGGATTAGATAGATTGGAGGGTTAGGATTGGTTTTTAGTTCTCTAGGTTTTTATTAGAACCTCTCCCTATATATATATATATATATATATATATATATAGGGAGAGGTTCTAATAAAAACCTAGAGAACTAAAAACCAATCCTAACCCTCCAATCTATCTAATCCAATGGCCTACATTTCGATGGCATAATTGTAAATATAGACAAATTTAATACACTGCATTAATGTGAAAAGGGTAAAATTGGAACAATTAATTACATAGTTCTCCATTTCCCCATGCAACTCTCTCTCTCTCCAAAATCACAGCAGCTCTTTCCTCTCACGTTCTCCTCTCTCTCTCTCTCCTCCATTTCCCAAAAGCTTGAACCAGCCCCCTCTCTCTTCCTCTCTCTCACCACCACAAACACCACTAACTCCTCACCGAGCTCCTCCAACTCCACTGCCCCTGAGCTCCCTCCGACGAACCGAAGCCGCTCTGACGAACCGAAGACGCTCCCTCAGACCCGACGCCGTCAACCTCCTCTCCATCTCCTTCGCCACCTTCAAACAACCCAGATCCGAGCTCCTCCCATCCAAGCTTTCGCTGGAGTGAATCTGGATTCACTCCATTGAATCTGGATTATATTGAAGCTCGATTCATTGGAGTGAATCCAGATTCACTGAATTGAATCCAGATTTAGTGAACTGAAACTCGTTATCAAACAATAGCAAATCTGCAAAAATAAAAAACAAAAAGAATAAGAAACTTATGGTAAAAAACAAGCTATAAAATTTTAAAACATGATAAGATTTCACATTTTACAGCAAAAAGTTACGATTTTTATGGTAAAAAACAAACACCTCACATAACTGAATCTGGATTCACTGCAGTGAATCTAGATTCACTCATGCGTTTATTTCTTCGAAATTACAGCACATGCATTTATTTCTTCAACAATTCATTAAAAACCATCCTAACCATCCAAGCTTTCGCTGGAGTGAATCTGGATTCACTCCAGTGAATCTGGATTCACTCCAGTGAATCTGGATTCACTCCAGTGAATCTGGATTCACTCCAGTGAATCTGGATTCACTCCAGTGAATCTGGATTCACTCCAGTGAATCTGGATTCACTCCAGTGAATCTGGATTCACTCCAGTGAATCTGGATTCACTCCAGTGAATCTGGATTCACTCCAGTGAATCTGGATTCACTCCAGTGAATCTGGATTCACTCCAGTGAATCTGGATTCACTCCAGTGAATCTGGATTCACTCCAGTGAATCTGGATTCACTCCAGTGAATCTGGATTCACTCCAGTGAATCTGGATTCACTCCAGTGAATCTGGATTCACTCCAGTGTACGCGTATGTGTGTGTATGTATGTATGTATGTATGTCTATAATGAAAAATATGGAAAACCTTTGTACCAAGTTTTTTATTGAACTTGGTAGTGACGTGGAGAGATCTGGAACCTACATCACATCTCGAAAATAGAGCATCAATCACTTTTCACCTACTCTAAAATATAGGCTCTATTTTCTAGGAGTGATGTAGGGGCCAGATTTTTCTACATCACTACCAAGTTCAATGAAAGAACTTGGTACAAAAGTTCTTCATAATTCTATCTTTCTCTGTGTGTGTGTGTGTGTGTGTGAGTGTGTGTGTGTATATATATATATATATATATCATGGTTTTGTTCTGTATTTTGTGTTTTTTTCTTTTATATCTTTTATTCAACTAAATTGATTAGATTTTAATCCTTACATGGTTTTTTTAATTTAGGCCAATTATTCTCCTATATTCTCATTCTAATTAATCTAAATAATAATTCATATTTGTTTGTTCTTTTATCATATTCATGCAGGTAATAGTGCCAGACTTTAAAGTATCATCAAATTGAAAGTGCAAGGCATAAATCATGTTTTATTATTTCTTTAATTTTAAGCATTTTAGGGATCTATATTTTCTATAATTTGAATATAAATATGTCCACTAGAAAATATGAGTCTGGATATGCAAAATGTATGAAAAAAAAGAAAAACAAGAGAATTTATTCAATCTCAAAAGGGAGCACTTGATAGGTTTGTTACTAATACAAAATATCAAAACTCAAAAAAACCAATTGAAAATTAAAAAAACAATTGAATTTCCACTAGAAGATGATACTTTATTAGGAAAAAAAGAAATCTATCAAGAACTTTCTAATAATCATAATTCTAATTCACCAAATATTAATATTAACGAAGAAGATAAGACTAATTTAGAAGGAGATGAATTAGTTGATCTGATATTGATGGTTTAGATTTATTTTCAAAACTAAAAGTTTTAAAAGAAATAATAAATCCTGAATTAAAAACAGCACTTGAAATACTAAACCTTACAAAAAAATTAAAATTTTTTTCCCAATGCATGGATAGCTTATAGAATACTACTCACAATACATGTTAGTATAGCTTCAGCAGCAAGAATTTTTTAAAATTAAAATTAATAAAATCTTATTTACGCTCAACAATGTCTCAAGAAAGATTACATAATTTGGCAATTTTATAAATTGAAAAGTATTTGTTATCAAAACTTGAATATAAAATTTTAATTAGTAACTTTGCATATTAAAAAGCTAGAAAATTAAATTTTATATAAAATCTATTTTTTTTAATTAATATTTAATTTTTTAAAAATATAAAGACTTTAAATATTTTTTTCTGCATAGAACCTTAAAATGGTTCGGACGGCCCTGCGGTTATAGTAACTTTTCAATTATTTTATCCAAAAACAACCAAACCGTGATAAGTGTCCTAAGATCCATGTTAATTAGAACGGAATCAGCTGCCCCTTATCTGCTATATACCTTTAAGACTTCCTATG